ATCGTGATTACGCTTTATTGTACAAAAATGTAATATTCTTCTTTTATTTATTTTGATTGCATAGATGGGTGGACTAGCTCACAGCCCACCTGGTGTTAAGTGGTTACCGGAGTCCATAGACATGTATAACGTAAATGCCGCCGCCCACCTTGAGATACAAGTTCTAAGGTCTCAGTACAGTTACAACAGCTCCCCACCCTTCAAACCGAAACGCATGGTGGTGGTACCTACCCGTGCGGACTCACAAGAGATCCTACCACCAGGTAATTTTCTTGGCAGAGTGATCGTGGTCATCAATGTTATGTTAACTCACACGAATGTCATGTTCGAGCCCAAAGTCGTGTAAATTTAAAGTTATTAAATGAAGAATAGTTTCAGAAATTTTAAATAATTTTTTTTTAGCAATAATAATAAAAACAAACCAAATGATGATCACAAAACATCGATCCAATGATTCGTACAATGGGCAAAAGTACAATAGTGGGAGAGCGGTTTTATTAAACAGTTGAGACAGTAGACAGTTGAGACCTCATGTACCAAGGTGGGTGTCTATCATGTTGTGAATAGCAAGTGGGGGATGAGCTTAAGCCCACAATTTGTAAAGACAAATAAATAAATGAAAATATTTTTCGAAAGCACAGCTCCGTAATATCTCGCAGCAATATTAGAACCAGACAGCATAACGTTAAAAACAAAACAGGACAAAAGCATGGCTGCAGAACTCTTATTAATATGTGATGTTGCATCTTTTGTTATTCAAATTTTAATCGTACTGCCCGCCCTCCTGCTCTTTTTAGTATTTGTAATTATTATTATTATTATTAACACTTTATTTGTTTTTTTTTTTTTAAAACCATAACATTTTGTTAGTAACAACCACTTGTAATCTATATTAGTAACTAAAAAAAAAAAAAAATCTAACATAACTATCATTATATACATTATATATACATATGTTCATATTATTTGTGAATGTTATGCTTTATAATGGAAGCGACGGGGGTATTGAACAATTTCTTTTTTTTTTATCACCGCTTCACAGCAGAAATAGGCGAGGCGGTGGTACCTAGCCGTGCTGACTCACTCAAATTTTGCGGGTTTGATTTTTATTACACGATGCTATTCCTTTACCGTGAAAGTCAATCGTGAACATTTGTTAAGTACGTATTTCATTAGAAAAATTGGTACCCGATTGCGGGATTCGAACACCGGTGCATCTCTAGATACGAATGCACCCTACGTCTTATTTTTTAGGCTACGACGACTTCATTTTTCTATTTCGTGATTAAAGAAAATTCCTAATAGTCAGATTGCTTAATTTATGCCTAAGAAAGTAAAACAGAGACGCTGCTGGTTGTAGGGCGGATTAGAAGCTCGCTCGGGTGGGTACCACGGTCCTGCCTATGTCTGCCTCGAATGTTTAATGTTTGGGACAACGATATACTTTTCAGCCATTATCACTCATCGCGATTGGTGGTATTCACGTTATGATACCTATAGCCTGATCTAAGCTGCTAGAAATTTAAAAAAAATTTAGCGGCTACAAACTGATTTAGCCGAATTTATGCAATTAAATATTTATTTCTGTATTTCAATTTTATAAGCAACTGACAAAATTAGATAGTCAAGACAGTAGATCAAGTAGGAGCTTAATACGAGATTTTTGATCAAGGAAATCAATTCTGTGCCCTTCTTAACGTTCTTCAGTAGTTCATGTCATCTGACCCTTCAAGTCCTACGTGAACATCGATGTGGAATGGAGTGTGTTCTAACTACCATTTATAATCGAAGAGTTCACTACATTCTGCGTGACTGTAGATACCTTTGACTCTTTTAACGAGTCAAGATCCCTTCGTACAAATCAAAAAACAATTTCAATCACTCAACCCTTATCATAGGCCATTGGATCGTGACGCGAACGCCTTACTTTCGTAAAGTTTTTGCGTCAAGAAAAACCTTCGGCCATTCCGCTAAGACCATAATCCTTATCAGCCCCTTGGGCAACGGTTAGCACCCTATCAATTGGGCCGCCTCCCCCATAAATTGCTGCTCAGATAAAATGCTAGCACATTCAATCACCCGCCCCTAACTTTTGTTAGGTAAGTTTTTGAGAAATCTGCTAGTTTACCTCCGGCGTTGCATTTCGAATGGAATCGGCTTTCGTCGTCCATAAATCTTCAGCGGGAGACCTCGTGTCAGCTGTTTCACAAATGAAATGCTTGAAACCTAGCGACGAACTTTATATAATAATAATAATATAATAATAACATCGCTCTCAGAACTTGATCTTAATAAATATTCATACATTGCTTTACAAAAATCTGTAATAATCGACACCTGTTCCATAGTGCGACGATTCCTTACATCCACTACTCAAACCCCTACAACACTACACAATGAACCATGAACAATGAACTCAATGACCTCACTTGGCGTAAGCCCGCGCTAGGTTCACATTTACTAGCATTAGCTGAGAATTTTTTTTTATCCATAACCCATAATAATAATAATAAGCCTTTATTGCTGTTTTACTTACTAATTACTAAATTAATAAATTACTTAATAATAAATTAAATTTAAATACAACTTATAATCAAGTATCCCGTTCGGCGTTCGGTGTGGTTTTCAAAACAGCTTGTCTCTTTACAAAGGCCTCCTCTAAAGATTGCCAATGTTCTCTATTTTTGGCCATTCGACTCCAATGCGGGCCGGCTACACTCTTTATTTCGTCTTCCCAACGTTTTGGCTGTCTTCCTTTTTTCCTACAGCCATCACGTGGGTACCACTCTGTAATTATTTTAGTCCATTTCTCGTATTTCTCTCTTAAGATATGTCCTGGACGGACTTTATAGGTGTGGATTAATTTCAATCGAACGCCCGGTAGTGCAGGACAAGGTGTTAAAAGAAGTCAGACGGTACTGCAGATTTCCTGTGATGTGGACTGACCTAATCAAAGCTGTAACGAATTGCCTCATTGTATGCGTAACGGGCGCGGTGTCAGAATGTTCACCACAAGTGCCAAGAGTATAACCACGAAGGAGAAGCAGAGTAATTAAGTATTACTATTAATTGATTATAAAACTGAATTTAAATTGACTGTGAAATAGAAATACTTGTTAAAGAATGTAAATGCTTATTTGCATTAAAACCAAATTTAGATAATCAGTAGAATGTTTAATAGGAACAAATTAAATGAAGAATGATTTTATATTGTATACCTGCTTAATTATACCTAAGATATAAAAACAAGCGCTTCTAGACCCGGACTATCAAAATATAGCTACAACAAAATTTTGGACTTCGCCTCGGAAGAGAACGAGTAACCGGTGATAAAGTACCCAGGATTAATAACTACTACACCATTAAAGGCAATCCTTTACTTCAGATTGATTAAGATATTATATTGTTACGCGCTGGGGTTCGGTATAAATTAAACTTCCACCGAATTACAAATTAAAACTCTATTTAACATTTAGAACACTTACTGAACACTTAACAATTTGTAATTCACTTCTTCCGCTTTGCTTCAGGTGATCCGTTCGCTGTTTCGCATTAAGTAGATCCGATTACCAACTGCCTTCGTGTCATCTCTGCAACGCTTATAAAATCGATACGACATCCCTAGAATTATCGAGAGCATCGTAGATAAGGCCCAGTCGTTTCGATACGTGTTTCCGCTATTTGATAATAGATGGCATTGCACTTCTCGAGCGTTCTCGATTTTACTAGCTCTTTTGATATTCGTTTCTGCTATTCGACGATAGATGGCGTTACCCTTACAGGCTTAACTATATATTTTTTTAATTGTTGTAGATTGCCAGACGAATGAAGTCTCTATGGAGGCCTAATGTAGAGGATGCCTAAAGTTTTCGTATCGAGTGAGGTGACTTCGTGATGTAATGTTATTTATGTTCCAAAAAAATATCAAATTTTGTTATAGATAGATACTTTATTACGAAACTAGCCTCTGAGGGAACAGCGTGTACAAACGGTTACGAGAGGCGTATAATATATTTGAATTGTAAATGTCTGATTCGTCTTATACCTCAAGATAAGGAGGTATCGTAAAACTCTATTGGCACGGGACTGCGGCGTTGCGTCGAATATTTTCTCAGTGGTTCCTCCACTTCACGACGGCTTTTTATGTAGGCTGTTTTATTTAATTATTGTTTTACAAATGGCACGTTTATTTTTGGTTTCTGGAATATTCATTTCCGTTGAACTAGTTGTATTGTGGGTCCGCACGTGTGGGTACCACTACCCTGCTTATTTCTGTCGTGAAGCAGTAATGCGTTTCGGTTTGAAGGGTGAGGCTGTCGTACTGTAAAAACGGAGACCTTGGAACTTAGATCTCAAGATGGGTGGCGGCATTTACGTTGTAGGAGTCTATGGGCTCCAGTAAACAGTTTACATAAGGTGGGCCGTGAGATCATCCACCCATATAAGCAATAAAAAATAAAAATAGCAAAAGCCTATAGATAGCCCCTAAAACGACCGTAACTGTTGGTCACAAGGAATCGATTCTATTTCTTCGTCTAGTTAGTCCACAAAAAGCTGTGTAAAAGCTATGCTAAACGAACCAAGTATGTGGGCGTATAAGCCGAGTGCAAATTCGTGTACCGTGATAGGACCTAGACGCTTCGAATGATCACGTCTTTAACGTTTGGCCCGTGTTGCGTCAGTTGTTGGTTTTCATTGCGATCGCGCTCACAGTGGACGGGCTTAGTGAAATACTTGTGCCCAATGCTCGAGCGTCATCAAGAAAAACATTACTTACAGTCAATTGAATTACATCTTTATGATTCAAAAAACATGACGCTTTTTCGTATGTACAATACTGTGTTGATCGTTTTTGAATCAGTCGCCTACAAGCTACATGCATAATCCTAAGGATTGCTATGATCACGTGCTCACCGAGTTTCTCGCCGGATCTTCTCAATGGGTCGTGTTTCTGTGAAGCACTGCTCTTGCTTAGAATTAGCAACGTCATCAGATTTGAGCCCTGTGAGCTCAACTACTTGTTAGGGTCACGCCGAAAAGGTCCCTCAAAACCATCAGCTTAAGTAGGTACACAAAAAAAAACTCATTGTAAGTCTAAAATTGGCATCACAAGCTACGACGCGCTGTGGAGCTCCGATTGTACTCGGCTCGTCTAGTTTTGTTTGGGTTCCTGAAGGCCTTTCCGGCTTCACAAGGACGGGTCGAGCTCAACGGAAGAAGAGTGGTATTAAAGACGCACCTCTATATTATTATTGTTTGCACGTGCACCTGGAAGAACAGCAATGAATCCCAAGCCCATTGGAATACAAAGAATGCGTGCACACTCATGATAATCACGCTAATAATAGAGCGCATTAGAGACAATAGTGAAATGGTAATAAGCTCACCCTCAAAAAGAGCATCGTAAGTTAAGAATTTCGTTCTTAACGAGGTCTCACGGCTGCACACGTTTTTTTTTTGTTTATTGTTATATTATTTGTGATTGTTTATCAAAGAGGTTTAGTATTTTGCGAAATAACCAAAGAGTTTGGAAAAGCTCTTTATATACGCGATATATGTTCCGTAAATATGCCGTGAATACAGAAACCGTGGATATGAAATGGTAATTGACATACATATTATATTAAAGGGGTTATAGGGAATTATAGGGATACTTCTTAGCGACAAATTAAAAACACACTTTAGGCGCAGTTGCAATAAGGTCTATGTTACCTTTTTATTAGTCCATTTCACGACGTGCTTACAAAGGATACTCGGTTTCATATCTAGATATTGGAATTTTTTATCAATGTAATATTATATCGATTAGGTACACAATCATTAAATCTTTATTGGCGAATATAGGATTTGGGTCGTATTTTTTTAATCCACAAATAGTGAAAACGCAAATGAAGGAAGAGCGAAAAATATGTATTAAGAAAAACCTTTATTATTTTAAACTCTTTAGTTATTAAAAAATATTTTTCTTCAGTATCATGGAGTGAAGTCTGTCATTCAGTAAAAAGAGAGTTTAGTTTTTTTTAGTTTATCTATATATTAATACGTGAAGTAAAAACTTTGTATCCCTTTTTACGAAAATTGCGCGGACGGAGAAATATGAAATTTTCCACACTTATAGAGAATATAGAGAAGAAGTGCACAATGCTAATATTTTTTTAAAATAATGCATAAAAGATACATTAAATCAAAAAGAAAACATTACACACACTACATACCATGTATTTGACGCACACACGCATGCATACTATTCATTGTCAAACTTTTGTTCTTGACGTCTGTTGTCAAATTGAGAATAGATTAAATATTGTTTGTCTTTGTTAATATTTTTATAGTATAGTCTTGGTGAAATTTGTGATTATAGAAGTATAAAATACAATCATAATAGTGTACAAACTTACAATTTCAATTAATTATAGTCGAATTTCGACTACTGCGGGACCTCTAGTTAATACTGTTTACTGTTTAACTTTCAATATTAATTTTAAAAAAGATTAAGGGCTTTAAGACTTGTTTTTTTATTTATATCACAGAAAACGCAATTAAGTCTTTTGTTGTTTATTCATATGAAGTATTCCAAATGCAATATATGCTTAAAAAATATTATGACAATAACATCCTGCTCTTTAGCAGATCATCCTTGTGAGAAATTATCGTCATTTAAATATTAAATTCCTTTCGCGTTCTAATAAATATTTAACACTTTGATCAAAGTGAAATTTATATTATCATTAAAGACAAATATCAGATACTTTATATTGCTTATATTTTATCATCTGACCTACATGCTAAAATAAAAATAAGTAGAAAGAATTTTACGTCTAGAATTGAATATACGTGACATTAAGAATGAAAATATCATACTATGTATTTTCTTAAGTTTTCAAGAGTTTTCAAACATGTCTGAATAAACTTTTACTGTTCCATACGAGTATATATTATTATAAAATAAAATATATTTATAATTCAACTTTTTTTTGTGTATTTGAGTAAACTGGTGAGTTTACTGGTTGTAGGACCTCTTGTGAGTCCGCGCGGGTAGATACCACCGCCCTGCCTATTTCTGTCGTGAAGCAGTAATGCGTTTCGGTTTGAAGGGTGGAGCAGCCGTTGTAACTATATTGAGATCTTAGAACTTATATCTCAAGGTGGGTGGCGCATTTACGTTGTAGATGTCCATGGGCTCCAGTAACCACTTAACATCAGGCGGGCTGTGAGCGTCCACCCACCTAAGCAATAAAAATAAAATAAAATAAAAAACGGGTTTACGGGCCTACCAGATCTAGAGTTACAATATTTTTTATTCTTTTTCAACGTTTAGTACTTACCTTATATGTATGTGCGGTGGGCCCTTATATGTATAGTACCGCTCTAACTCTTTTTATAGGTATAAGCGAAAACGACTATGATACCAGAGTATGAGCAGAAGTGTTCTCTGAGTGTTGTACCACATTATTTTGGTCTCCAACTTTAATTTAGTGGTATTGGTGTGCTTTCACATCAGACGATTGAGTGTCACAATCCTATCGCGAATTGTTTATAATATTGTGATTAAGGTGCAGGGTGTGGACGTGACAGTATGAGGGGGCATTGTCCCCAGTATTTTCAATGAACCTGTTGTTTGTACCTATTCTTTTAGTAGTTTTTTATTACTGGCGGCCCGGAGGCCTCCTCAGTTTCACCAGGACAGTTGGGCGAGAAAAGGCTCAGCCAGGAGGGGTGGGATTTGCTAACAGCAAGTCCGGGCGCCTCCAAAGGAGACCTAACAACTCAAGGGCAGCTGCTTCGTGAATGAATCTACTACCGGATCGAAGTCGCGACCCGCTGAGAAGATCCCGCGACTCAGTGGACTGATGCTTACTTAGGTTAGGTTGTACGTCGAACTCTTTGCCGAGTTCGACGAGTATGGTTACTGGTGTCCCTAAGTCTGCTCCTAGTGTTGTAGTTGAAGGCGTATAACGCAAGGGTTATTTAATCTGATGGATTCGTAAGGACATGTGCACCTATTTTGACCTCGCGCTTACGAAAAGGGCACTAGAGTAATGATTGCAAACTGCCGCTATATGGGCTAAAGACTCCTTCGATTGAATCCATCTCTCAGGATGGGTGGCATCATTTACAATTTTATTTCTATCTAGGTGGGTCGAAAACTGGTCTAACTGTCAAAAAATGAAATTAAAAATGGATTATAATATTTCCCGGTTTGACGGCGGTCATATTTGTTTAGTCCTTGAATTTTTCTACAAAATACTACGTTAATATTTAGCAATCTTTGAATTTTATTATAGACTAGGAACACCCCCACCGAATGCAGTTCCGCCTTGTCGTGGCGGTGGGGCTTAAGCGTGCGTCCCTAAAATCGCGTGCAGAGGAATCTGTGTGGGACGCCGCGACAAAGAGAACTGCACCCAGCTCTCCTCGGACGCCTCTGCATTCTGTGGGGGCTACCTTAAGAGAGAGCGAGGGACCCTCTCCACGCCCTTTGCACTGGCAAAGGGTGCCATTCTGGGGATGAGGGATTGGCTCTCGGGAGCCTGATGAGCCAGTGGCACTTTTGTGTCTTCCGGCTGCGGGTTGCCATGTCCCCGGCTTCGGCTACAGGGGAAAGCCTTCCAGATATGGGAGGTACCGGTTCGCCGGCGTGGCTCNTAAGCGTAATATGTTACGCAGACGACACGCTGGTCGTGGCCCGGGGAGGGAGCTTTGCTGAGTCTGCTCGTCTTGCCACCGCTGGGGTAGCGCATGTCGTCGGCAAAATCAGGAGATTGGGCCTCGACGTGGCGCTCAGTAAATCCGAGGCCATGTGGTTCCACAGGCCCCGGAGAGTGCCACCTGTCGATGCCCATATGGCATCGAAATGGTCCGTAAAATAGTTTGGGCCATCAAAGAAAACATAGTAAATAATGCCCTATAATTTAAAACGTCACAAATCTAATTAAACTAGAGTCGACTATAATTAATTGGAATTGTAAGTTTGTACACTATTATGATTGTATTTTATACTTCTATTATCACAAATTTTGCCAAGACTACACTATAAAAATATTAACAAAGACAAACAATATTTAATCTATTCTCAATTTGACAGCAGACGTCAAGAACAAAAGCTTGACAATAAATAGTATGCATGCGTGTGTGCGTCAAATACATGGTATGTAGTGTGTGTAATGTTTTCTTTATTGATTTAATGTATCTTTTATGCATTATTTAAAAAAAAAATAGCATTGTGCACTTCTTCTCTATATTCTCTTTAAGTGTGGGAAATTTCATACTCCTCCGTCCGCGCAATTTTCGTAAAAAGGGATACAAAGTTTTTGCTTCACGTATTAATATATAGATAAGTAATTCTAGTATGTTAATTGAAACTCGAAGATATGAAAGTTTTTAACATTATGACGTCATTTCGCGAACGTGCTTGCGTCTCCCTAGCTAGGTTTAGATGAATGATTTAGTGGTATTAACCCTGATTGCGTCGCATAGCTACGGCTAGTTGGAACGGTGAATACATATTCGTATACCTATCAGTTCAATAAGCTGGTTAAATTTTGTTTGTTTCGATCGCTTTATAATAGCTTCACAGAGCGACTGATTTTGAAAAACATCAAACATTTTGTGGTGTTTAAGAACGCACCTTTTTATGATGCGTAAGTCGGAACGCACGAGAGGTGGAATAAAAGAATATAGTCTGTGACACGGGACCTTTTTACCGCCGAAAATTTAAAACGTAAAAAAATATTTATTATGTGTTTAATATTAAGTAACTAATATAATATAATAACTTAGAATTGTTTATGCCACTACAACAATAAAATTTCTATTGTTCCAACTGTGGTGTTAATTACATAAAACACGACTTTACGGCGAAATAAAGAAGGGACTCTACATAAACTCCCTCAATTTCATTTACAAATCGTATCGCCATTAAGATGTATTTAAAAAAAAAACAAAATGTAACATAATTTTTTAATTTTTTTTATTACTTAGTTGGGTGGATGAGCTCACAGACC